AATTTCCGTCGTTTAACAACCGTGGACCTGATTCGTGGTGTTAAACTGCACGTACAATGTTCCAAACAAGCAAGACACTCCATTTAATGTGAAGAAAGGGTGTGACTTGCCAAGAAACAGTGAGAGAGGAGTGTGTGATACACTGACGCCACAGCAGTGACTCCTCACTCCTCACACACAAATAAACAAGACCTACTCACCTTATGAGGGACCCTCCATGGTTGTACAAGCTTTGTTATAGCTGTTTATCTTCCGTTTACGGGGGACCCTCCATGGTCGTACAAGCTTTGTTATAGCTGTTTATCTTCCGTGAACCCCTAGTTGGTAGTTAAGGCACAAAACATTAACATTAAGGCACTCTATTTTATGAAACACATCAGTAGTGAACAACACTACAAGCTCTGGCCCTACAAGAGGACTAAAGTCTTAGTATTATAAGACAGAGCTCCGTACCTACATCCTAACAAAATAAGGGATAGTTGGTGGTCTGTAATTAGAGATTGGATCCAATGTCTTTTTATGCCACTAATCCCATTAATATTGCAGGTGCGGTTATCACCATGAGCTTACGAGCTCACCTCACTAAGTAGATTACTTACCATTAAAATATAACCATATTAACTAAGTTAGTCAATGTTTGACAAATATTTGATATATTGCAATTACTTAAAGACAGATTAAAGTATACATTTGCAATAGAAAAATTCATATCATTACATAATCTTGTCATTGTTTACGGTACTTCATATGTGGCAAAATGCTAGATCAAAACGACAGGCTAAAATAATTTGTAACCGTATCAGTGCTAGCTGCATTATACATATTACCTTTTACCAAGTGGTAAATGTAGATTTTCTCGTTCAACAGGTAAATGAAAGCCGGCCCATTTCTGTTGGTCACTCTGAAAACTGAACCATTTGGGAACACAGAATATATTCAATTCACTACCCCAAGAAGAAACACAGTTTCCAAGTGGCTAGTTAGTTCCTTACTTTAGGGAGTCAGTAGTTAAAAGAAATTCCACATTTTTGGTCTGCTTCGAACCGGATACAGAGTATGCAGGCGAGGAGTCACAATAACGTGGCTGAAAAATGTTGACCAAACCACACACACTAGAAAGTGAAGGGATGACGACGTTTCGGTCCATCCTGAACAATTCTCAAGTCGATCACAATCGACATGAGAATGGTCCATGACGGACCGAAACGTCGTCGTCCCTTCACTTTCTAGTGTGTGGTTTGGTCAACATACAGAGTATCATACTCCACAATCACAATTGGTCCTTTTACAGATCAGATTGTAGAGTACCATACTCCACACTAGCCTAACTTAACCTAGTATAAAATCTAGCCTAACCTCACCTAAAGTGACTTAGCTTGCTAGTTAAGTAAAAACAAATGTAACTACTGTTTATTGCAAGGTATAAATCCTTCAGGTAGCTACCTACTCAACAATATTTGACTTTATAACAAATTAAAGGCAACTGCTTATAATTAACAGAAAAATGACGTTACATTACATTATTTTTACTTGTTTGTGTATAAGCTTCAGTAAAGTGAAACTTTTTACATTTTTGTTATTTACTGTAAAGTGTGCATTACTTTATAATTTGTTCTTAACCTTATTTTTAAACTTTAATTTCAAGTAAAATACCAGAAGGTATTATTAGAATTAAGAACAAATTCTGCACTGTTGGTGCATATGGGATGCCTTTTCATATTTTACTACAAAATGTTACACTTTTGATGACTGAGAGAAGTTCTGTTACCAAGATTCTGGTATGGGAATGAGGAGCGAGCATCAGTAATCAAATCATATTATCAGAACTGAATTAGTCATCAAAATAAACACAAACACACTTAGCCTTAAGGCAATAATTTTACCTAAGTGAGCACAGCCAGACCAGTTATCATTAATTATGGCTACTCTAGAAGCACATTAGAGAAAATTAGCAGATCTGAATGGACATCTGACCAGACAGATCAAGAAATGTGAGGATTTGTCTAATCAAACACCAGTTGACAGTGTAGAACTTGAAACATATTGCCAAGTGGCTACAGCCAAATTTGTCAAAAGACAAATAGAAACTTACTTGGCTTTACTAGCAGATAGTAAAACATCATGGGCAGATATGGATGATATTATGGACACCATGGCCCAGTATGAAGATCATACCGAGGCCACAATAGATCCAATCGTAGCCATACTTTTACAATATATAAGTACTAATGCAACTGCAAGTGTTGCATGAAATTTGATGCCACAAACCCAGCTTCCGAAGCTGGGTTTACCCACTTTTACTGGGCTAGATGAGGAACACTAGGATGATTTCTGGCAGCTTTTTTATACATAAATTCACAGGCATCTATAAGTAAAGTAAATGTATTTTCATACCTAAAAGACCAGCTTTAAGGGGAAGTGAGAGCTGTGCTAGCAAATTTAACCTTAACAGATGCCAATTATGATGTCACGGTCCAGTTATTGAAAGATAACTATTGTAACATATAACTGGCAATCGCAAACCTGTACAATATGTTAATTGATCTACCTCCACCCAGTAACAAACCTGATTCTCTACAAAGTTTCAGGCTGGATGGAGAATCTTTAGTTAATGCACTTGACACTAGAGTTAATGTAAGTCATTCTGAATGGAGTTTAAAACTCGATATTCAGTGTAAATTACCTGAAGATATATTGGCTATAATATGCTCACACTACAAAAAGGACATTATCTCTTCAAGAGATATTTGGTAGCTTTAAGACAGTTGTCACCCATTTGGGGACCCACAGTATATTTAGAGCTCGTAGAAAGAACACTCAAGTCTCCTCGGACAAAACAAAAAAATGTACAAAATAATGGCACACCTGGCACACTGCCAAAGCAGTAACAACTAAATGGAAGCAAAGTAGCATAGGCACTTATGCTGGGAATCCGTCAAAGCCAGTAGAGACAATAGCACCTAAGACGACAAAGGTGAAGGGTGCAACAAACTGGTTAAAATGTTTATTGTGTGAAGAAAATCCTGCAATGTATCAGTACTCTACATATACTGACCGTCCAAACAAAATTAATCAGTTGAAACAATTGAATTGGTAAACACACTGTTTAAGAAAGCATAATCCTACAACTTGTGCAACTGAGCTCAGAGTTTGTCAAAATTGTGGTAAGGGACGGCACCATACTGTTCTTTGTGGTGATGCTAGTAGCAATGCAAACAATCTTTTTGCAATCTGTAAACCACAAACCAGAGGAAATATCCTCAGCAACATCACAATTCTGCAGGGTACAGAATGATATAAACACGTTGATGGCAAAATCTGCAGCAGCAGCTGCTTTGCCTACTGCAAAACTAACAACATATAATAAAGGACCCCATATCCATGCCCGAGGGTTGTTTGATCAAGGCTCCAAGAGAACTTTTATCACAAAGAAACTTGCACATGATCTGCACCCAGAAACTGTACAGTCACCCTAAACATTTCTGGATTTTTGACCAACACAGGTCACCAAGAATACAAAGTGATTAAACTCCTGGTTCGTCTAGGGTACTATATAAGGCCAGTGTATGCAATTGTTGTGTTATCAGTTCCAACAGACCTAGAAGTTATTGGCCTTGCTGCCACAGCAAGATTTCTTAAGCAAAAAGGGAATAATTTAGCAGATCCCCAGATAAACTCTGACTACATAACAAATATTGACATTCTTATGAGTGCTGATTACTACCATAAATTTATCTTGGGGGAAACATAAAACATTTGGAATGTACTTATTAGCATCTGCAGGAGGAAAGTTATTGTCTGGCCCGAGCTACGCGTGGTGACCAAAACTCCTGTTAAATAGGATCATTCCGAAACTGTTATAGTAGCATGACTAGGCCAAAAACAATCACTCCTAAACATCAATCACATGATTGATGATGGACTGGAGTCAGTCCATAAACTGTGGACCAAGATACTATCGGAATTCTTCCTGGGCAACCAATCCCAGAAGATACTTGTGCATACAAACAGTACTTGGACATTGTATGATACCATCATGGACAATATTGGATCAGATTACCATGGAAAATCAATCACAAAATCTTACCCACAAATTACAAAAAGGCTTTACATCAATATAAGGAACAAATTACCAAACTTAAAAAAAGGCCAAAACACCTAAGGTTGTACCATGAGATTATTACCCAGCAACTAGCTGATAGTGTCATAGAGGTAGCACCTAATGACAACTTGAAAGTAGGTCATTATCTACCTCACCATGCCGTTGCCAATCAATCATTAACTACTCCTTTACGGATTGTTTTTAACTGTAGTGCCAAACCATAGTCGCAGGCAGCAAGTTTGAATGATTGTTTACAAACAGGTTCACGCTTAACTCAGAAATTACATGATGTACTGCTGAAATTTAGGGTGAATAAATTTACCTATACAGCAGACATCAGTAAAGCTTTCTTAAGAGTAGGATTAAAGGAAGAAGACCGTAACATCACAAAATTTTTGTTGGTTCAAATTCAGAAGACGATTAAAGTCAAATAGTGACTTATCGTTTTTCAAGTGTACTCTTTGGAACAACATCAAGTCCATTTTTGCTACAAGCAACATTGGACACACATTTAAAGAACTCAGATAGTCCCTACAAAGCTGAAATCAGCCAAAATCTATATGTAGATAACTTCCAAGGGACAACTAACAGTGAAACCAAACTTGTAGAAGTTTACAGAGCGATTAATCTTGTACTTTAAGGAGCTAATATGCCATTACAGTTATGGGCCTCCAACAATGAAGCATTAAACAAACAAATTCATAGGGATTACCATGATTATCTGTTACCTCAGAAGCTAAAGGTATTGGGTGTTGAATGGGATATCTCCTCTCATATTATAACAGTTAAGTCAGAACCAGTGAACTCTTGCACAGTCACAAAGAGGAACTTATTGTCACAAATTAAAATTTTTTTTTATCCTTTAGGACTATGAAGTCAAGTAACTATCAAAGGACGTATGCTGACACAAGAAGCATGGAAGACTAAAGAAGGATGGGATAGTCAGTTACCTCTTGAAATACAAACAGCATGGAAGGACGTAGCTGATGAACAAGCCTTAGTCAAGCAGATAACCTTTCTGAGACAAGTAGTCAAAGAAGGAGTTGCAGTGACATTGCAGGTCTTTACAGATGCTTCAGCTAGAGCCTATGGAACTTGTGCTTATTTTGTTACTCAACAACAATCCCATTTAATAACACCAAAAGCAAAAGTAGCTCCAATAAATAAAATAACTATACCACAGATGGAGCTAACAGCATTGCTTACTAGTACAAGTTTAGCAATGCATATCAAACAAACTATGTTAAATGTAAATATCACAGATGAGTTTATGTGGTGTGACAATGAGTCCTACAAGAGGCCTGAAGTCTTAGTGCTATAAGACAGAGCCTCGTATCTGCATCCTAACAAAGTAAGGAAAGATTGGTGGTGCACAAAAAACATTGAATCCAATCTCTAATTACACACCACCAACCTGCCCTTACTTTGTTAGGGTGCAGGTAAAGAGCTCTGTCTTATAGTACTAAGACTTTAGTCCTCTTGTAGGGCCAGAGCTTGTAGTGTTGCTCACCACTGATGTTGGAATAGTGTTGCCTAGACTCCAACGGCTTATGGCTTGGGGAGTTCAGTGTTGATCACAAACCACTCACAGTTTATGGGAAGACACACACTTGTTTCATAAAGTAGAATGATTAGATGGACTTCAGCCCAGTACTCGGGGATGAGGTGGATATGAACCCAGCAAGTGGCAGCGAGAGGGACTTAAGACCATCGCATGAAGTGAGGTTATGAGAAATACTTGAACCCAACACTCAGGTGGGGGCATGAGAGGGACTTGAGCCCAGTACACTAGCTCACTAGCTGGTGATGAGAGGTACTAGAGCCCAGCACACTAGCTGGTGATGAGAGGTACTTGAGACCAGCACACTAGCTGGATGTGTGAGAGGCACTTGAGCCCAGCACACTAGCTGGTGATGAGAAGTACTTGAGCCCAGTACACTGGCTGGTTCTGTGGGAGGCACTTGAGCCCAGTACACTAGCTGGTTGTGTGAGAGGCACTTGAGCCCAGTACACTAGCTGGTTGTGTGAGAGGCACTTGAGCCCAGTACACTAGCTGGTTGTGCGAGAAGCACTTGAGCCCAGTACACTAGCTGTCTGCATGTGTGAGAGGCACTTGAGTCCAGTACACTAGCTGGTTGTGTGGGAGGCACTTGAGCCCAGTACACTAGCTGGTTGTGCGAGAAGCACTTGAGCCCAGTACACTAGCTGTCTGTGTGAGAGGCACTTGAGCCCAGTACACTAGCTGGTTGTGTGAGAGGCACTTGAGTCCAGTACACTAGCTGGTTGTGTGGGAGGCACTTGAGCCCAGTACACTAGCTGGTTGTGTGGGAGGCACTTGAGCCCAGTACACTAGCTGGTTGTGTGAGAGGCACTTGAGCCCAGTACACTAGCTGGTTGTGTGGGAGGCACTTGAGCCCAGTACACTAGCTGGTTGTGTGAGAGGCACTTGAGCCCAGTACACTAGCTGGTTGTGTGAGAGGCACTTGAGCCCAGCACACTAGCTGGTGGTGTGAGAGGCACTTGAGCCCAGCACACTAGCTGGTGGTGTGAGAGGCACTTAAGCCCAGCACAGTAGCTGGTGGTGTGAGAGGCACTTGAGCCCAGCACACTAGCTGGTGGTGTGAGAGGCACTTGAGCCCAGCACACTAGCTGGTGGTGTGAGAGGCACTTAAGCCCAGCACAGTAGCTGGTGGTGTGAGAGGCACTTGAGCCCAGCACACTAGCTGGTTGTGTGAGAGGCACTTGAGCCCAGCACACTAGATGGTGGTGTGAGAGGCACTTGAGCCCAGCACACTAGCTGGTTGTGTGAGAGGCACTTGAGCCCAGCACACTAGCTGGTGGTGTGAGAGGCACTTGAGCCCAGCACACTGGCTGCTGGCGTTGGATGGACTTGAGACCAGCACACTGGCTGGTGGCGTTGGATGGACTTGAGACCAGCACACTGGCTGGTGGCGTTGGATGGACTTGAGACCAGCTCACTGGCTGGTGGCGTTGGATGGACTTGAGACCAGCTCACTGGCTGGTGGCGTTGGATGGACTTGAGCCCAACACACTGGCTGGTGGCGTTGGATGGACTTGAGAGCAGCACACTGGCTGGTGGCGTTGGATGGACTTGAGACCAGCACACTGGCTGGTGGCGTTGGATGGACTTGAGAGCAGCACACTGGCTGGTGGCGTTGGATGGACTTGAGACCAGCACACTGGCTGGTGGCGTTGGATGGACTTGAGAGCAGCACACTGGCTGCTGGCGTTGGATGGACTTGAGACCAGCACACTGGCTGGTGGCGTTGGATGGACTTGAGAGCAGCAAGGCGCAGACACTCCTTATCACTCCCCGTGCCACATCATTGTCCCCACACCGACAATCGCCAATATTGTGTGAAACAAAAACTTCAACCTTGAGCAAACACCCGCGTGAGATGAAATGTATTTAGTTAACTGGTTACAGTGAGGAAACCCTGGTACTTCTGCCAGCTAGGACACGCTTAGCTGCAGCTAGGACATGCTTAGCTGCAGCTAGGACACTCCTAGCTGCAGCTAGGACACTCCTAGCTGCAGCTATGAGCCCAGAGAAGCAGGCGTGGTGCTGCCAGTAATAAGGAGACGCTCCAGGTTCACAGGCCACACGACCTGGGGATGAATATATTCTCGTCAAGAGTTTGATTCCCTCTGAGGGCCTCCTCATCCTGTCCCCCCCCCCTCGGCGCGGTCAATAATATGAGACCAAAATCTTCCGAGAGATACCAAGGTCTTCAGAGTGAGACCAAGGTCTTCAGAGAGATACCAAGGTCTTCAGAGTGAGACCAAGGTCTTCAGAGTGAGACCAAGGTCTTCAGAGTGAGACCAAGGTCTTCAGAGAGATACCAAGGTCTTCAGAGTGAGACCAAGGTCTTCAGAGTGAGACCAAGGTCTTCAGAGTGGGACCAAGGTCTTCAGAGTAAGACCAAGGTCTGCAGAGTGAGACCAAGGTCTTCAGAGTGAGACCAAGGTCTGCAGAGTGAGACCAAGGTCTTCAGAGTGAGACCAAGGTCTTCAGAGTGAGACCAAGGTCTTCAGAGTGAGACCAAGGTCTTCAGAGTGAGACCAAGGTCTTCAGAGTGAGACCAAGGTCTTCAGAGTGAGACCAAGGTCTTCAGAGAGAGACCAAGGTCTCAAGAGTGAGACCAAGGTCTCAAGAGTGAGACCAAGGTCTTCAGAGTGAGACCAAGGTCTTCAGAGTGAGACCAAGGTCTTCAGAGTGAGACCAAGGTCTGCAGAGTGAGACCAAGATCTTCAGAGTGAGACCAAGGTCTTCAGAGTGAGACCAAGGTTTTAGGAGTGAGACCAAGGTCTTCAGAGTGAGACCAAGGTCTCAAGAGTTGGACGAAGCTAAACAGACGATAATAGAGACTATACCAGGAGCCTGAGAGAGGTGTGGAGCCGCCCGTGTGAGCCCTGGGCGACCGAGTCATACAAACACCTTAACGAAGCTCTGAGACACACAACGATCACAACGATCATCAACTTAATTCATTTACGAAAATAATGATTTTCACATATATATTTTATTGTGAGACGTAAGCCAAATTATAACCATCAGAGGTCAGTATATGAGAGGTCATATAATATTAGAGTTGCAATAGGGGGAGCGGGAGGCGGTGAATAACCCAGCAGGGGTGAACGTGTTGCTGGTGTTCAACACCTGGCCGCCATTACCATGGCAGGGAAGAGATGTTCCGCCATCCTAACCTCTGAGCAAACATCATAAATTACCGAAAGGATCTGGAGGTATTGATCGAGGCTCCGTTGCCAGCCTCGGCCAAGGGGTGTGGACGCCCACACACGCCTCGGCCAAGTGTGTGGACGCCCACACACGCCTCGGCCAGGGGTGTGGACGCCCACACACGCCTCGGCCAGGGGTGTGGACGCCCACACACGCCTCGGCCAGGGGGTGTGGTCGCCCACACACGCCTCGGCCAGGGGTGTGGACGCCCACACACGCCTCGGCCAGGGGTGTGAACGCCCACACACGCCTCGGCCAGGGGGTGTGGTCGCCCACACACGCCTCGGCCAGGGGTGTGGACGCCCACACACGCCTCGGCCAGGGGTGTGGACGCCCACACACGCCTCGGCCAGGGGTGTGGACGCCCACACACGCCTCGGCCAGGGGGTGTGGTCGCCCACACACGCCTCGGCCAGGGGTGTGGACGCCCACACACGCCTCGGCCAGGGGTGTGGACGCCCACACACGCCTCGGCCAGGGGTGTGGACGCCCACACACGCCTCGGCCAGGGGGTGTGGTCGCCCACACACGCCTCGGCCAGGGGTGTGGACGCCCACACACGCCTCGGCCAGGGGTGTGGACGCCCACACACGCCTCGGCCAGGGGTGTGGACGCCCACACACGCCTCGGCCAGGGGTGTGGACGCCCACACACGCCTCGGCCAAGGGTGTGGACGCCCACACACGCCTCGGCCAGGGGTGTGGACGCCCACACACGCCTCGGCCAGGGGTGTGGACGCCCACACACGCCTCGGCCAAGGGTTGTGGTCGCCTGGAGAATGAATTTTTTAAGAGATGAAGGACTAGGTACTTAAAAATTAAAAAAATCGGCAGCTCTTGTTGCACGCTCTGAGCACTCACAGTGTGAAGGGTGTTCTCTCAGTGTTCAGTTTTGTGCACTCACAGTGTGAAGGGTGTTCTCTCAGTGTTCAGTTTTGTGCACTCACAGTGTGAAGGGTGTTCTCTCAGTGTTCAGTTTTGTGCACTCACAGTGTGAAGGGTGTTCTCTCAGTGTTCAGTTTTGTGCACTCACAGTGTGAAGGGTGTTCTCTCAGTGTTCAGTTTTGTGCACTCACAGTGTGAAGGGTGTTCTCTCAGTGTTCAGTTTTGAGCACTCACAGTGTGAAGGGTGTTCTCTCAGTGTTCAGTTTTGTGCACTCACAGTGTGAAGGGTGTTCTCTCAGTGTTCAGTTTTGTGCACTCACAGTGTGAAGGGTGTTCTCTCAGTGTTCAGTTTTGTGCACTCACAGTGTGAAGGGTGTTCTCTCAGTGTTCAGTTTTGTGCACTCACAGTGTGAAGGGTGTTCTCTCAGTGTTCAGTTTTGAGCACTCACAGTGTGAAGGGTGTTCTCTCAGTGTTCAGTTTTGTGCACTCACAGTGTGAAGGGTGTTCTCTCAGTGTTCAGTTTTGAGCACTCACAGTGTGAAGGGTGTTCTCTCAGTGTTCAGTTTTGAGCACTCACAGTGTGAAGGGTGTTCTCTCAGTGTTCAGTTTTGTGCACTCACAGTGTGTAGTGTGCTCTCTCAGTGTTCAGTTTTGTGCACTCACAGTGTGTAGTG